TGACAAGAAATATGATTGATGTGAATTTTACAGCCATCTATCCATCTACATTGATTTAAATACGTTTTATAAGTGTGCAAACTGCTTGTTATGCTGCTCTGTTTTGAATATCGTCTAATGATGGCCTATTATATCTGTGATGGGGTCTGAATGATGAATGGGGTCACTCATTAATCTGTACACATACCAAACAGTACATGTGACACTTCTGTGTACATTATAGTAATACTACTTATTGTTTTATTAATATTAGCATCAAGGGCAGGTGTTTCCTTTATACTTTTTTGGCTAATAATCTGGTTTGTTACTGCTAATTGTGAATTATCCAGATAGATAAACAATGCTGTTGGATTAACCTCATTTTGTCTGTCGAATTATATAAGCTTAGCACAAAAAGTAAGGAAATTAGTGATTTGTAAATTATTTTTTGTTATAACAAAACTTTTTGGCAAAAAAAATTATAGTTGGAAAGCCTGTTAATTTCCCTTTTAAAAAAACTCAGACTAGTTGTAACAGACATTATTTGACTGTAAAACAAACCATGGAAAATACTGTAGCTGTTTAGTTTTTATAAGTTTTAAAATACAAATTGTCACATGGAAAATATACAAAACATATATTGTCACACGTAAATAATGTGCTGCAAAGCATACTGGGTAATTCGTGCATTGCTATTGCCAAACATCTTATTTTGTTGTTGCTATTGATACTTGTTTACTGAAACATATTCAAGTTATAGTTATATAATGGACATCAAGTTCAGACATTCAGCTTTCAGTTGATGTTATCCACTTTAAACATGGATGAAGGGTTTAGGAATTAAGCTCCTTAACATGTGCCACCCTGCTTTTTAAAGGGACCAAAAGTAATTTGACAATTGACTCAAAGGATATTTGAGGTGTGTGTGCAATTCCTTCGTTAAGTCATTCTCAATTAAGCAGATTGATTTGAGGTGTTCTTGTTCTAAATATAGAGTGAAAACATAAAACCTGACAAACTCAGGGCTTAAAGTAAGAAAAATAAAAAGTCCTGAGCCTGAGACTTTTTATAGTGGTGATAGGAATGAAACCATAACATATTTCTCTTGCCAATATGAGAATCTGTGCCAAAATCCACGATTACACTAAATGAATGGGGCAGTGGGGTATGTGCTTCCCTACATCAGTGCCTGAGGCAAACCAGTTGCATGGCAAAGGCAGGTAATAGTATATATTTCTTCTAATAGAGTCCTTACAGGTCTCCATAGCTTATTGATTTATTTAGGGGTTAACTCCTTTTTTCAACTCAACATAAAGTTGCTGTGTCATCACCAACATTCTTTCTGTAAGACATCTGTAATCCCACAGCCAGGAGGTAGCACGGATCATATATCATCACCTCTCCTTATTTTACTAAAATCCCGTGTAAAATTGAAAATAGCAGATTGTCACATTAAAGTATAACTAATCCCCACATAACCCTGCCCTCAGGCAAACTTGCAACATTTCCAACAAAGTGGGCGGCGTCAAGAGACACTGAGGGGTACAGAGGTGTGGTCAGGACAAGGGAACATGATTCAGAAATCTTTCTGAATCGATATTGGATTGCAAAATAATTAACTGTAATGCATTGCTGAATTGATTATTTTACCCACCCCTAGTTCCAAAACATTTATTGCAATTTTCTTTGCATAGTGAACTAGAATGCTAAACTAATTTTGGCAACATGAAGAGATGCACACCGCTGTGAGTGGTGCACATTTGTTAAATGATAGTTTTTGTTCAACCTTTGCATTGTATGCAGAGTTTTTTTTTTTTTTTTTTGTCATTTCATCCTCTTCACCCATACAATGTTAGCCTTTGAAACATTACAATTATATACAGTGTGTATATCTGTTTCTGCTTTGTGCCTCTTGCTGTGTCGAGGTGTTTCGGCTGTTTAAAGTTTTTAGTCGTGTTGATAAGCCATTTTCCCTGCAAACGTTGGACCACACTGAGAGCAGTACATGTAAGGCGTTCCTTTCCTTACATTATCTCAGCTACGTAAACATAAACTGTGTGAGCCTTTCTCTCTTTGCCTTTCTCCAACACACAGCTCATCTGCTCATTCTTTATCTGAAAGCTGGGAAAATGTAGGATTTCCTGCTTTATTCTCCCTTTTAAAAGCAAATCTCCAGCAATTATTTAGTCATTTTTATTGCCAAATGGCCAAGGCAACAACAGTAGATGTCAACTTTGAGAAGCTTTTATCTCTACACTACAGTTTATTGTGATGACTAAGACTCCATTTATAACAAATCCAGCTGCTCTTCGTCATGAAGTGTAAACTGCCTCCAAAAGCAGTCGCAGTCTTGATCTCTGAACATTTGTGGTAGTGACCTTGCAAAAATGTTTTTTTTTGTTCTGTCAAGTAATTCATTTATAGATGAAGTATTCTACTGTAATTGTTTTTTAAACTGGGTGGCTGAAGGTTTTTTGGGGGTTTATTGAGTTTTTCTTCAATCTATAAGATAAACTCTGTTTTTTTTTTTTTTGCTATGTTTCAGAGAATGTCTACAGTATAGCAAAGGAGAAGTGAGTGAAACAGCTCTTGGAGAACATATTTCTCTTCATTCAAATACATTTGTTTTGCAAATATGTCCATAGCTTCTGCTTCATAGCACAGACTTGTGTGCTTCTACATAAAGAGCACACATTCAAAACGAAAGCTTCAAATTTTCCAGCCTCTCTCCATGAAGCCCAACCTAAGTCAAACCATGGCGAGAATAAAAAAAAAAAAAGCACGCTTCTTCTCTCCTCTGCGTACATACTTTATAGTGTTATCAGTGAAGGAATTTCAAGCAGCTTCTTAATAAGTGCAAGTGCTGACTGAAGGTTGGATTGGATGGAAGAGAAATGAGTGAGGTTTTAGATGTCCAGTTGAGAAGATGAATCTGCTTTAAGACGGTTGGGGAAAAGCGGGAAGAGAAAAGTCAACATCAAACGCTGAGTTTTTCCTGAAAGCACGGCTGCTTTCCAGGAATCCCTGTGGTACCCAGAGGGGACTTTTCTGTAACTCGTTGTGCTCTGGGAAACTAAAGTTGATGCTTTTCAGGACTTAAAAGAAAAGGTCAGATTTTTAGAAGTGGGATTCTGTGAATAGTGGTAAATAATTAATATCTTACCTAGGGCTGTGTATCATGGCCTATTCTCTAAACTGATTCGATTTCGATTCATTAAGTTCAGAATCGATTAATCACGATTCGATTCAATTCGATTCAGTGAAAATGTTTATTGATATTGTATTTTGCAACATAGTTACAAAGTACAATATCACCATTTTTTTCTCTAACATAAACAACAGGTTTTAAGGACAAACTTTTAAATTAAACTGTTTAATCTTGAAAGAAAACTGTGACAAATTTAAAAGGTTTTAAAATAAATAGGAGATGCAGGTAACAGTTTTGTTGGATGCATTCATTTTAAAGTAATCAATAATTATTTTTGATAAATAAGAAGTGATGTGAATAAGGTTGCAGAAGAAGAGGTGGGCTAATATAAATATACTTCTGCCCACTCCTTTTGAGTGTATGAAAAGTTGTGAATTTGTGTTCAGAACTGTAATTTCATTGTGCCCTGTACAATGACAATAAAGGTTTATCTTATCTTATCTTATAACAGTATATCTGTAATGTTTCTGTTACTTTCTTTTGTTATGTTCAATAAAAATTATTAAAACTTAATACGTATAACTTATTAAAACAACTACAAAATGTCATCACTGGATTTCATTAAGACGTTTCTTAAAGTTTAAAAATAATAATATTGGTAACAAAACTAAACGATTTTGTTAGAATGTCGTCTTTAACACGTTTAAACATGCCGATGGTGAACAGTTCAGTCAGATTTTTACATGCTGTAGTTTGGTTCAGGCGCCTGAATGAGCCACTCGTCAAACCCCGCTTCGTTTTCGCTACTGGGTAGGAGCGCAAATCTTTGCAAACAAAAGTCACCATGGTCTCTGTTATCTTTAAGTTCTGTGGGGAGTTGGCTGGTAAAGTTAGAGGTTCCTTGGATTTTTTTGTTTTGATCCAGACAACTCGTTATCTAAAGCTAATTGTAGCACTGAACGTCAACCGGATGTAAATAATACGGCAAGCCAGGAGTGAAAAAATACACACACCTCGGACGCGCGCACAAGATGGCATGGAGAAGAATCGATCTCGTGTCCTGTGAATCGATTTTCCCAAATTTAAATGAAATCGATCCAAGATCGATTAAATCATTTTTTTTACCCAGCCCTAATCTTACCTGTTGTAGATAGCTTTTCAGACGACCTCAGTTTGCAGAAATAGTTTATTTCTGACCAGATTTGCAAGCTAATGACTAGTCCGAGTGTTAGCTTGCTGACTAACTTTTAGCTGTGGGCTTATCACTTTGATTAGAATTAAATTTTTATTTCTCAAAAATGAGTTCATTCAAAGAGCCCTCTGCAACAGGTAAGACATAAACTGATAGAAGTAGGGATGTATCGATACCAGGTTTTCTCAAACCATGTGAGTACTTCAGTTTAGATACTCACTGAATGTCGATACAGAGTACTTGCTGGGATAGAACCTAAACATTACACAATGACTTTAAAAACACATTTTTTTTTATTTAGAACAAGGTGGCTCTCCTTCCTTTCTGACCGGGTCTGTTCAACTTGTATAAATTTCTTGAACACAGAACTGACAAACCTTTCACTTGAAATATAAATTGTAACAAATCCAGTGAATATGGATACCAGCATCACAGTATTGATGTTGTTTCCAAGTACTGGGGCATTTTGTACTAGTACTTGTAAAAAATACTGGTGTCTGGCTCTGACTACTATGTAAAACTTTTCCACAGAACTTCATTTGTTAATTTGGTTTTTTACATTTTTTTTTTGTAAACTGTATTCATCTCAAACCATTGTACAGAACAACTTTTATTACATGTGAAATGTGCTGTGTTTTTGTCTTTGACCTACTGTTGTGTTTTTTTCTTAATTTTTTACAGGTACGACTACAGAGAAATGCTGTACAACTCCACATTCTGTTTGGTACCTCGGGGTCGAAGGCTGGGCTCCTTTCGCTTCCTAGAGGCTTTGCAGGTCAGTGATGTAAACACAGAGGGTGCTAATTCCTGCATGGCAGAACTCTTTCTCACAGGAGTCCACAGAAAGTAGTGCCTTATTAATATTATTTTGCAGCATGCAGTATTTTTGTTTGACAAATATTCTTAAGACATGAGTTTGTGACTCGTGGCTAAAACACACACTCATGCCAGTGTTTCCCCTAGGAAATTGGTCTGGGTGGGGTGGGGG